TATTATTTTTTTATATCATTTGTAAATCCTTATATTCATGAATATCAGAACTTTTTAATTATCCTATGATTTATTTTAATATTTAGTAATAACGAATCCTTTATCCTCATTTTGCGTTTGCGTTCTTCTTGACCTATCCATAACATGTCCATGTTTTTAATTCAAAAGTAGGCTTAAACAGAAAATATTCTACCGCTTGCTTGTAGATTTGTGAACGCACGCCAACATAACGTAACGTACGGAATCTAACGGAAATTTGTGAAATCTCCCTATTAAATAAATAATAAACAATATATTTCAAAGCACTCGATCACAAACCCACTTATCACTAATTCTTCCACCTCCTATGAAGTTAAAAAAGCTGACACGTAGAACATGTGTTCCTTATAATAATAATAATGAGACAAAGAGAAAAACTTTAAAAAAAAATTAATAAATAAATAAAATAAACCATTTAGATATTTTATAAATATCGAACTTTTTAGGATATTTTAATTGACAGAAAGGCAAAATAACAAGTTTTTTCAAGATAGAAGTCTCAAATTCGAACCACGAGTTTCACATATAAGCAGAGTCGCCAATTGGCTGCGCTTTGCAAAAATATTTTTTAATTTTTCATTTTAATTTTACGAAATTTAAGTTATTTTTAGTCTAATATTTTTCATTTTACGTAATTTTTCCACCACCACATATTAAAAATTCAAAGAATCATATTAAATGCTACTTTACTGCATTTATCTCGTGGTTTCTCTTATGATGAGTAGGCGTTATTATCCTTATTTTACAAGTTTTACTATTAAATTCGCTATCAATTTATTAAAACTTTTAAAATTTATTTTTTATTTTGATATTTGAATTTAGGTGGATGTAACCCACAGTCTAGGGCGGTGGGAGGATATTCCCTGGATATATGAACACAAAATATATGCATACTGATACATATAATCTAAAAGAAATGGCTTTAACATTCAATATATACATTCGAAAAGAAATGGCGGCCCTTACAAAGTAGTTTTCTAACTTTTCCATTAAATTAACTTAAAATTGAGGGCTCTTACCCCGTAGGCTTGAAATTCATAAGTAAAAGTCTTTTTTTTTTTTTATCATTTCTCAGGTAATCATAAAAAAATATTAGAACTTATAGAGATAAAAAGCTAAATTCCTTTTATCAGAAAATAAATCTAAAATTAATTAAAGCGGAAGAAAAAAAACATTTTGAAGAAAGAAATATAACTTGATTTAGAAGATTGCTTATATATAATATTATTATGTATATTATATACACATATTACTTATTCGCATACCTTTAAAATGTATATGACTTAGTGGCTAATAACTCAATGATTATGTTATTAAGAAATAAATTAATATTTTAAAAGTTACTTAAACTATTATTAAATACAATTTTATTTAGATTTCAATTTAAAAAATAAATAAATAAATATAAAGCATTTTTATTTATATTTTTATAAATATTTTTTATTAACAAAAGATTGTTAAACATATAAAGAAAAGGTAAGCACAAGGTAGTTCTTGACCGATAGAATATTTGGAATGCAACTCCCTACCTCGTAAAAAAATAATAAATAAATATCAATAACAAATAAAAAACATTCTTAGTAAAATTTATATATATATCTTTAAAAATCATTTCTATTTCTTTAAAGAATCAATTTATTTGTGTAAATTTTATTAATTATTTTCAATAGTTCTTTCTAGACACAATTATAATTCTATGCTAACATTTATAATATTTGCCTAAAAGTGTAATTATCCATACTTTTATAGAGGGGGGAGGGGAGTAGGAGCAGTGGTGGTTTTCTATGTTTGTAACTTCATTTTGACTAATTTGTTTACTAACTCGTCCAGCATTTAATTCTTTTCTTTCTTTCTTTTTTTTTCTGTCGAAGATTAAGTGAAATATGTGCTGACAGTGACCATAAAGAATTATAAAATGCTATTTCAAAGAAAATACTCAAAAATATGTTTGTTTGTTTTTATGATGAATTGAATGAAAAAAAAACATTTCATTATCGATAAAAATCACTTCGTCAATTATAAACTTTTTTAAAAAAACTTTGTTTTTTACATATTTTGTTACATACGATATTCTCGAATTGCATTAAAGTGAATAAATTTTCATATTTTGGTTTTCACATTTTTTTTTCATATTTTGGTCTTTATAGTTTAGTTTTACATATTTCGGTTTTCAATTGTATGCATGACTTTACTAATTCATTGGGATAAAAAAAAAACTAGCTGTAAAATTAAGACAAAGAAACAAAAACAATACAAACAAGAAAAAACCCATTTGCTTCTGATCAAATTTTGTCCATTGCTGCAGACCACATGTTTGTGGACAAAATCTACGATCGTATTTTTAAAACGAAACATGTTTGATAAAGTCATTAAATTTTATGCGACTAGTAAGATCCAGTTTTAAAACCTATAATTCACGTAGCAACTTTATATGTTCTGAGTTTTATTCACAAATAGAAAACGGAAATTGTACTTTGGTAAGTGAAAAATTATTCCAAAATAAAATAGTTATATTCTTTGTTTTTACTCTAAGCGTTTCATAGAAATTTATAAAATTTGAATTACTTTATGTGACTAATAACAAAACAAACTTAAGTAACGAAATTAGAAACAGAAAATATTTAAGATAATTTAAATTCATCTAATGAAACAATAGAGAAACAAGGCTTAATGAAACTTGATATATAAATATAAAACACATTAACCGACAAGCCTCCGTGGCGCAATTGGCTAGCGCGTTCGGCTGTTAACCGAAAGGTTGGTGGTTCGAGCCCACCCGGGGGCGAGAAATTTTTTTTATATTTTTGCATCTACAAATTATATTAAAATTTAACCTTTAATACTAAAATACACAAAATATGAACTATCGAGAAATAAAGAAGAATGAGTTAGAAAATCAAGCTTTAAAAAAGAAATCACAAGGCTTCAATTTATACTTGAGGAAATCAAAATATTTCTATTGACAATTATAACTAGTATATATGGTATTTTGAAAAAGTAATTCAGTAAAGAAAAGTAATTCAATTTATCAGATGAAGATTCCAAGAACTTGTAAAATTAAATATTCAATAACTTCATGAAATTTAGCTGTTCTGTTATTCTAAAACCAATAAAAATATTTCAACTGATAGACATAGTTTGAAATTGTGGTTTAATACAAAATTTTCCAATTATAATAAAGTTACCTTTAAGAAATGACAGTCAGTGAAAGTGAGATACAGAAAAATCATCTATGCAGTTAAAAAATTTCAATAACGCTTTTTTTATGTATGGATAAAGGAATTTATAGCCAGTAATTGATTCAAACAACAAAACTATATTATGCATAATAAGCTCCCATTACATCTCATAACATTTAGAGCTGTTCATTTCCTTTGAAGAATTGTAAACAAATTTTAGAGAAAAAAAGTACAACAAAAATTAAAAATAATTATTTAAAATTTATACAAAAGTAGGCTAAATAAATTAAAGGTGATGATTACAAACAAAATATTTCACTTGATAGAATTAGACTAATACATTTTACTTAAAAGACATTTACAATTTATAAAAATAATTAGTTATTAGTTAAACTAATAGATATAATATTTTTAATTATTATATTAGATATAATATTTTTAATTACATAGTTAAAATATTTTTAAATATGACACCTGTTGCTTTTCGAATTTATTTTTATAGCATATATGTTTTAAATCATTAGAAATTCCATATGTAAATATAAATACAGTAATTAGTTCTTATTTAAGCTATATATAAATGAACAATTACTATAACTATAATATATTATAGATCATATTAGATAAATTTTGATTTTCATGAAAATCAATTATATGTATAATTTTTGTTGTTGTTGTTTTCCTTTTTAAAATCAAGATTTCTCATCATAATGGAAATTTCTTCTTTTTTACTAATAATAAAATGAAATAAATATTACAATTTATGATCTTTAACCAGAGGCAGTACAAGAATTTAAATGAGCATATCTTGATATAATGCTCAATAAGGATAACAACAACAATTGTCATGTTGTTACACCATGCAGTTTAGTTACATTTTTTCTTATAAATTATTTTTAATACATAAAAGTATTTTTCTTTTTTTAAAAAAAGAATCAATAAAAATAACACTTAACTGTAAAATCTGAAAAAATCTACTTAGTTCAATTTTTAGGGAACCAATAAAAATTTTCATTTAAAAAAAAAAAAAATTAAAAACCTTCCTATTTATGAAATATAGTTGCAAATGTCAAGAAATCCAAGCACCAAACTTAGATTTAAATATTAAAAACACCTAAAAGTACTCAGAAATGAGATTAGATTTTATAACCAAGACTGAGATTTTAAAAATGCAGCATGCATAGAATATGACAGTATCATAGTTGACATTTATATCATTTTAAAGCAATTTAATTAAAAATTACTTGTGAATCATGTTTATAATGTTAAGACGGAAATCAATCGAACACGTTCAAAAAAAATTTTTTTTTAGTTCTAATTGAGAAAGACCAAATTACATTAGTATCAAAAAACGATAAAATATACTTAAATGACACAAATAAATAATGAAAAAATAATAATTTCACATATAAATTTTTAAAAACATAATTAATAAGGTTTGATAAATTTTTTTTAAATCAAAACAATTATTTTAATATACAACAAATCTCTCAATAAAAATATAGTTCATCGGAATTAAATTCTGTAAATAAAACTCCCACGTGCGCAAGAACAGCAAGAGCTGATTCCAAAACAAAAACAATCCCCAGTCAGCGTTTAAATATAGAAACATGTCCCAGAGCAGGCCTCTTTAAATTGGCGATTAAATGATAGTTATCAATGATATAATCGGAGCGATTTTTCCCGCCAAATTAAAAAGTACTCTTGAAAAAAAGCAAAATATATTTAATCATGCATTCAAATCAAGCAGATCAATAAAATATATTATCAATCTTAACTTACCTAAAATATTATTTTATGACGACAGCTAATTCCACCGGTTCAGAAGCTCGGCGTGATTATTAAGTACTATCACACATAGGTTAAAGCGAAATCCAAATAAACGCGCCAAGAAGATTAATCCAAGCGTCTCATATCACGGCAACGCGATACATTCAATTAGATTTAAAGAGTTATCAACGAAACTTGACATAACAATTCTCAATTGTCACAAAAGTTAGGATTCGGCGAGCATTTGAATTATAAACAACCATGAAGATTTGAGAACTGGTTTCGGTTTGTAATCGTTAGAGGGCGCTGCGCAACAGCAGACGAAATCCTATGGTAGATTTAGGGGTTGTTAGTTTTTGATTTTTTTTCTTTTCATACTACTACTTGCCCTGCAGCTTTTGTCTACTAGCCGCGCCAAAAGAGGTCTAGTAAAACTTCGCCAAAATGAGTAGAGGTCAACACGTGAGGTAATATTTGGCCTTGAAAATTAAATAGGAAAGGGAAGCTGATGTGGGTCAATATAATTTCGCCTTAAACAATAGAATAAAACCAAAGTTTTCCAATACTATGAAATATCTCCATTAATTTACAACGATCACTCCATGATTTTTCCATTTAATGCTTAAAAAGACTTAAATAAAGTACCCATTAAATGACAGAACACTCAAAATCTAGCTTAATTGGAAGGCCGAAAAGGTGTAATTTTTTATAAAATATTGTTGCAATTGTTTGGCCCTTATGTAGAACTTATGAGAGATGATTTTTTTTTTTTTTTTTTTACATTTAGAAAAATTTAATATTCTAAATGCACAGATTTTTGAACTATCGTAAAAGATGTTAGTTAATTACCTAGACATTAATTTTTTTTTACAAAAAAAATATTTTTTTTTCTTTAAAAAATACATAAAATACTATCGTAAGCTGTACCATAGACGATCCGAATTTAAAAAATGTAGATAAAAGATTTAAATAATTGGTTGTTACTAAAGAGAAAAAAACTATAGTCAAGTCACAAAATCAGGTTTGTTTTAATGTACGAAATCGTTTTTAAAAAAAGTACTTAAGTCATGAGATTAAAAAGAATTGTGTTTATTTCTTCGCAATAACGTCGATTGTAAGATAAAATTCATAAGAACATGTGATTTGTAATGTTAATCTAAATTGTGTAAATAGTTACAATCTTTTCTTATTTCTCCTTCTCTTTTTTTTTTAAAAAAAAAAGAAGAAAAATATCGCATTTTGCATTGCCGCGTACAGATGTAATATGCATTAATGATAGATTTTAAATAGCGTTTGCACACACGCGAACTCGATAACTTCTTCAATTTTCATCCAATTTACATAAAAATGTAATCAGATCAATATAAAGAATGTAGTTTCCGTTGCAAGTAGTATTTTTCTACTGTATTTTCAGATATTTTTTTTTATTTTTATGTTATATCTTGAATTTATGGCTTTTTTTAATCGATATTAAACGATCTGTTAAAAATCGTTTAAAAAAATAATAATTCTATGCTCACACACAGAATGCACTATTAAACATAAAAGTATATCGGATAATGATAAAATAAAATAAAAATTAAAACATCGTTTTTAAAATTGGCAACAAAGTAGAAAATAATTCTACGTTTGTCACACTTTGAAAATCGAATATTATAGACCGTAGCAAGAAAGATTCTGATCAAGTATGTATTTTCTCCCTTTACATGCCAGACAGACAGGGCATGTAATTATTTATTTAGAAATATCCTAAAATTACAAATTGAGCAATGCCTCATACTTTGTTTTTCATGGAGAAAAATTTATAAAACAAAGTTCACTTTTTCTTTTAAATTCCACAAATCATGCTTATTTTCACTAAAAAAAATTACCTCACTTGCTGTGTATAAAAAGAAAAAAAAATGTAAGTGAAAAAATTGAAATAGAGAGAGTGACCTTTATAAATACTCTAATTTAACATCTGCTTAAAATTTAAAAAGAAATTTGACTATGTTAAGCATGTGATTCTTTAATTTGTTTAAAATTACTACTTAAGTAAAATTACTGCTTAATATTCATATTCTCTTTCAATCCAGTGAACTGTCTGATCGTAAGATACGGTTAATCGTAGATCACCGAAGAGTAGATCAGAAAACGAGTAGGTGACCACTTTAATCAGCCTGCGAAGGGACCAGGGTTGCACGGTATTGGTCCTAGTTAAATTGCTCAACCGTGAAGTGTCCGACTTCCAGAACGGGAAAACCATCCCTTCAGCAGATAATCAAATTCGTGATGGCATGTCTTCGGATCATCCTCAAGGATGTTTCCCAGACTGTCGCCAATAGCCCATTGTTAACAAAGTTCTACTACTACAACTTCATACTTCCTTCCACTGTTTTTTTTTTTTTTTTTTCCAATTCGAGGAGAGGCAACAATAAATTTCTTTAAATGAATAGTTTCATTCATTTAGGTCACGGGCGTCGTAACCAGGGAGGTGATCTCCGAGTGGTCCGACCCCCCCCCCACATACACCTACGCTCACAGTACTTGCGAAATTAGGGTTCTTTGCTTTGATTACTTTGATTACATCTTTATCTGAGCCGTGATGGGTCAGGGGAGCGCTCGTCTCCCAATGTGGTGAGCCGGGTTCGAATCCCAACGATAGCTGGTAGATACGAATTCCGCATCCGGCTTGCACCGCCCACAGTGCTGACGTAAAACATCCTCTGTAGTGGACAGATCATGGGTTAGAGTCCCCTTGCCGTCAGGATAACCGTGGAAGGTTTTCGTGGTTTCCCCCTCCATGTATCGCAAATGTGGGTTAGTTCCATCAAAAAGTCTTTCACGAAGGCAAATTTCTCCCAATGCTTGTTTCAGGAGTTCCCTTGTCTTCTGGATTAGGTTCAAAATTACAAGGCTACGGAGTTGAACAGTAGAAGTCGTGTACTCAAAACAATTAGTTCGGATGTTCAACGACGGTTATAAAATAAAATATATCTATATCTTTTACTCTTTACCTATATCTTTTACTTTTCTTCTCTCCCTTTTTTTACATAGTGCAACTTATTACATTATTATTAAAAGAAAATTAATTTAATTAATTAATTAAAATACATTAAAAAAATTAAAAAAAAGTGTTTAAAAAACTGCAAGAATTGTCAGTGTTATTAGCCTTTCCTTCAATAATCCTTCTCTTAGCACAATTATTTTTCTCCATGCACTTAGCTGATTAGGATTGATTCTAAAGCATAGCTTAATTTACAAACAGCACCAGAGAAGAGTCATTTGATACCTCAAAAATAGCTGCCTCAGTTTACGTTATGGGAAAATGTCCTTCGCATTTTGAAATAGTCTTCATCGCATTTCGAGAATCCTGTGTCATCTTTTAAAAATGTCGGACCATCTCTTTGTTGGCTATCTATTCATAAATTGTCTCAAACAGGCAATTATCTATAATTTCTAGGAAAACAGATGTATTAAGCTTTTGGGGAACTAAGTAGGGAGAGACATTTTCTATTTTTTGGTAATTTTGCCAAGAGACTTTCTCTGACATTCTAAATCTTCTCATACAAACGCTCACATTTCTATTCCACCATCATTTAAATTAGCGATTTCCAGCCATTTATTAAAATATATCTTTTGATTACATGAACTCATTTAAATAAATCTATTTCTTGGGAGGTAAGTTAATGCTTGTATTAAATTACGTCATACAATTATAATTGTCTGTTTATGTACTGTCTGAGTTTTATGTTTTATAGTTTATATACCAAATTTATGTATATAGTACATTAGTTCATGATTTTACCGTTCATTTTTTGCCATAAATTTATATTTAACGCAAGGATTTTGCTCTTATTTTATATTTATGAAATTAATGTAACGTTTAAATTTGTAAAACTATAAATCAAGACTTAGATTTTTTAGGACTTTTTAATAGCTTTGTTTCCATTCATAAATTAAATATCACGTTTAATTTTATAAAAAATTTGCATGCAATTTAATAAAAAATTTTGCATATAAATATATTGGTAATTTATATCCAAATGCAAAAAATTAACATTAATTTACATTTTATAATTATTTAAAAGAACGAAGAAATATTTCAAATGCCAAAGTTTTATCAAAGAAATCCATATGATTTTATTACACTCATTAATGAAAACTGTAATGAAAAATTATTTTTAAGAATTGGATAATTTGTTAAATGTAACTGGTGCACGTTAAATCCTCCATGCTCCGATAACAAATCATACTTCTTGGAGATTGATCGTGAATTGGAGATTGATCGTTCAGGTCAAAATTACGATCTATGGATGTATGAATGAGTATACTTTATAAACGCGTTTTGACGTGTATGTAGCTGAAGTCGTAGGTCATAGATTGCGGCACTGAAAAACTAGAAGGGCACACTCTGCCTTAAATACGCTTGGTTTCATTAAACAGGATCACTGGATTGGCAAGTGGCATTAGCTTCAACAACATGGATATTTTGTTGCCTAACCCCAGTGGGTATTAAAGTTTTTCCTTTTTTTAAAAATATTTTTTGTTTTGGGGGGGATTTAGTTTTGCAACTTAATGACAATGTTTCAGACTTAGGCCGGAATAGCCTAGTTGGTAGAGCAACGGACCCATGTCCAAGAGTTCAAGGGTTCGATCCTCGCCGGCCGAAGACTCCCCGTGTAGTAAATGGTGACTGATGCACGTTAAATCTGTCGAGTCGGAAAATCCCCCGTGTTGCCATAAAAAATCAATACCTCTGGGGGTACTGATCCAGAAGTTTCATAGTCTTCTGGATGGGTTCAAAATGACAAGGCTACGGAGTTGAACATTGGTAGTCGTAAACCCAAAATTAGGTCGGCTGTTCAACGACGGATATAAAATAAAATAAAATGTTTCAGATTAAAAAAATACTTTTCCTTTTAAGAAACACTGGGTTAGAATTACACTTTATTACTGAAGAACTATTATCTTTTCAGACCACTATGTTGAGTTCTCATCGAACTCATTTGCAGACATTCTAATAGTTTTTCTTTCTTCCTGTTAAGAAAATGTCCTATACGTTTTTTCAACTCAAAATTACGTTATTTGGTCAAAAAAATTCTGAATTGCATCAGTTGAACTATTTTTCAGTTTTGAATCGTACTTATACCCTCATAGCCATGTTCGAAGTCGCGGTTATTTAACCTTTGTCACTGTCAGACTTCAGACTATTTGAGTTCAATCGAGACCTGATGTTAAATTGAAATTTTGCGTTTGATTTACCGCTGCTGAAATCTAAATTTTAAAAAAAGAATTTGATAC